ACTATTTTTATGAGAGATATGTGAAAGAAAAAAACCCATGGGAAGAAGAAAGGTTCAGATCAACAACTAATTAAAAAAAAATCCTCAGAGAGGATTTAATTATTAACTTCCAACTAGGTGCCACAGATGCTGTATTTTCCCCAGTTCTATGTTCTTCTGAAGATAATAAATGTCAACATGCTTATAAATTAAAAATACCCTATTTGTGAAAACCATGAGATATGTTTTTGGTTTACCTGAAATCATATCTCAAGTGCGTTTTGGAATTGTTTTAAAGTCACCTTGGTACAGCAGGGTACTGAATGCATGGATAACGTTGTTTCACCAAACAGAAGGAAATGTGTGCCACTGCTTTCTCTGATGCCCAGTCTCAGTGCTAACGCAAATGAGGCACATTTGCCCTTATTCTTCCTCAGCCCTTTCAAAGATACTGAAATGTTCAGTAGAACTGCGAATTCGAAAAAATTTGTGTTATTTTCTTTCTTAGGACTCTTCAAAGTAAGAGGTAGAAGGAAGAATACACACTTAGTAGTACTGTGACTGTCTTCCCTTAAATTGTCAAAAACATACTACAGCAAGCTTTCCTTTGAAAGTGTTTTAACTTTTTTTAATGTTTTTCCTTGATACTAATGATACTTGTGATACTAATTTCACTGTGTCGAAATGTTCTGAAACTGACAGTGTCCCCGGTACCATTTCTTCATGGCTTTTTCTAGGGAGATCTTTGATCTTTTGAGTATTCTCCTAAACAGTCAAATCATCAATATAAAAATGCAACTGACTTGACATATTACAAATAGAATTTAGCAACTAAAGATCCTCAAAAGTGGAGAAGCCCATCAAAGCAGTGGCTACAGTTTTGGCTTCCAACAATGCTGCTATTTTACTGACCAGCTTGCTTGAACTATAGAACTACAAGCATAAGAAGTCATATTGATGACTCTGAATACACACTTCACTAAATTAAGGTATTCAATAAAATATGCAGCTGTGGCTGCTGCTTTTCCAATGAACATCTTTTGTCCTTGAAAACTAGGATTACTTTGGTGGGAAGACCAAGGGGAGCAGAGGAAATTGGTGTAGTGGGTAGTACCAGTCAGGGGTAAAAACAGAATGCAAGAGAAATTTAACATCATCACTGGATATTTTTTATGTGTGACATAAGGAAATTTAAAAAAGACAAAACCAAAAATCGTAGCAACAAACTTCCCTGTTGTCTTAACACTAGTTCGTTTTGTAACACCCCAAACCATACCTCCATATGGAGCACGTGAGAAATGTGTAACAGCAATCTTTTTTTCTGCCAGATGGATAAACACCTCAAAAACACCCACAAATACTAATGAAAACCACCTTGGCCTCCTTCAGGAAGTCATTCAACACTTCACAGAAAAAATAGGAAGTTGTTGATAAACTGCTTGCAAGAACTACTTCCTGTAGGAAAAATAATTACAAGACTTGTTTGCTGGACAATCAGTTAACTTTTCCTCACACTACAACAACAGAAGAAGTATTACACAAGCTCTGTAAGAATTAAAAGCATAACTCTAATTTAAAATGATACAAGAGTAATTCTAAAACTGAGCAAAATTTGTTTATTCTTTCTGCAAGCTGCTGTCTGCTATTCCCATTGCACATTATCTTTTGCCTCGAGAGCGATTCCCTATCTTTCTGCACAGTTCACTGAAATGTCAAGCAGCAGCTGGCTAACAGGAAGTGGTTAAAAAGCAATGCAATTGACATCACCACACAAACCAAGCTCGGCTTCTTTACTGTATGTTTAAGAATGGGCTACATCAGTGAGAGATGACTCAGATGTGACCACTTACTAACCAGCAAGTCTTAACTTATGAGCTCCACTGAAGGAGCAGTATCACTAAAAAATAGTTTTACCAGCTGTACAGTAAGCAGGCCTTAACCCACTGCTCAAATTCATCACTAAGGGAAAATGAAACTCAGCATTACTACCCATAACAGTGAGATGAATGCTAATACGTGGAATTCTGGCAAATCATATGTTGGGCATTCATACATAAGGGGGTCTATTTATCCAGATGACAGTCTAATTTACAAGAATAGTTCTGGTTCAAACCCTATAGTACTGTCCTCACCTTCTTTTAATGTGTATGGCTACATGGGGTGTGTGTATAAAATATTTGGCCAAACAACTCTGTGCATCTATCTCTATAAATACACACACAGATGATTAAGTATTTTCTCTCCCATATACACTATTTTCATTTCTTTGCACAAATTACTGTGTTTGCAGTGCTTGACCCACTGATTAGTGGAAGTGACTGTAATTCCAGAGTGTATTAAGTATGGTACTCAATTTTGTATTATTCTCTTTGTACTGTAGCATATTATGATAACTATAACCATAGGGCTTACTGACATCTGGAAAGAATCTAATATTGTTACCTATTCTGCAAAGATGTTTTTAGAGCCTGATTACCAGACTGTGCATGGAGCTAGTGGAAACAAGGAGTGATGCAGCCAATGAAGAAAAAAAGCTGAATACTTGAAGAGACACTAAAAATCTGCATATGGTAGAAGAAACCACATTAAAGGTGATTTAGAATCAGAAATCTTAGTACACACATTTCAAGCAAATGTTTAAGGTATAACCAGGCAAGATGAGAGCTTTAGCAGGCTTGTAGGTGTGAACTAGAACTTACCACTCATCACTGAAAAGAACCTTTAGTATAAAACTTGCTACTCAAAACTAGTCTTAAATTTCTTTAGGCTTCCTTTACATACAGAGCAAATGTTGTGCTAGTACTTTAAATGCTTTTTACAAATCTCAAAAAACTCCAATGAAGTTGGTGGATCTTACCTGCATATATATTAAGCAACCTTTTATGAACAAATGTTCTTCAAGTGTGAACAGAGCTGTCCTCATTAGACTCTCCCATACCAGAGTATCACCCAAGGAAAGCCAAAAGGAAACAGCCCATTACACTGTTTAAAATCTCCCAAGGTCAGCATGTGACCCAGCAGGGAGAGGTTCAAAAAGCACAGCCTTTATTTTTTTTCCTAACAACCTGGTTTGTTTCCACTCCTTTTCCCTTCAAGACACATCCTTCACAGCTAGCAGCTCTTTCAATCATTTACTTTGGATGTCTGCTTGAGAACAAACGATCTTGCTCATGCAGATGAGTTTGCCAGACTTGTGTGTACTTTCCAGTCTCAGGCTCTTTATTGTTCTTGCTGAAACCTGACCCTTTGAAATGGATACCAGGACACCAAGAAAGGACAAAAAAACTTGCAAAAGAAAAAGGAAAGATTTTTGTGGTAATAATCAAACTGCAGAAAAAGCTTTCCAAGAATAAATCTTTCACTCTAATTTCACCTGAATGAGCAAAAATTTAAAAAATTCATTGGAAGAGCAGGAAGACATTTTTTGTCTCTTAAACTCTTTCATCTTCTGTAAAATTGGCAGTGCTATCAAGAACAATTACTTGTGGCAGTAAAACTTTAAAATCAAATATCTATTTTTCATGCTTCATAAGGTGCTCTTTAAGAGCCCTCACTAACAGTCAAAACAAAAGTTTGCTTTTCATTTCAAAACTCATTCTGTTCTTTTCTCAAGGTTCAATGAGCTACACTTCTCAAATGGCATAAATTACACAGTTCAAAAAAAACCTTCTACTTGTGCCTGCTGAAGAGCTCATATTCTAGAGCACACTGATCTGTTAAACTTCACCAAAGAAAATATCACATCTTCAAGATCTGTAACTAATGCTTATTTTCACATTTCTAACAGAGAATGATTGTTCTCAAAAGGGAACCTCCAGGCTCAAAAATTTTCAGACAACTACTGCACCCTCTTTTTGGGTGCAGTAAGAGTAAAAGAAAAGGCTAATTTCTCTGTATGGAAATACCACAGCTACAGGAACAAGAAACATTTTTAAGAAGTTCTGCAAGTTCAATTTTCATTGCACACAATGTAAATTTGTTATTATTTTTGAAGCTACAAGCTCAACTATTTCAATCAGATGCAGCTATTAATCACAGTGTTTGAGAGGGAAAGGTAGTAATAAATACATTTTTCTCGGCTGAAACAAGTTTTCCATAAGTAACACTGCATTATCTCTCACCACCCTGCAAATGACATATAATGGGTTATTTAGAGACTTGCTGTTAAATAAAAAGTTCAAAGTATAGTCAAAGTATTTGAGGGCAAGTTATGGTCTTGGTGGGCACATTTTCAGAATGAAGGACAAGCCCCTGCTGTTTTTGAAAACTGCACAGAATAAAAGAAAGTGCTTCCTGATGGATTGGGTGTCAAATGGATGGCACATCTAACTTTCTTCAGCTATGGAAAAGGTGATACTAATTTCACTGTGTGGAAAAGTTACACCTCTAGGAAGATGAAACAATGTTAGAAATTCTGAAATTTCCTCTTCATTGCCAGGAATGTAGATGAGTTAATTTACAAACACAAACACAGTAATCAAACACATATGTTAATTACCTCAGGAAGAGAGAGTAGGCAAAAAACATTTTGGTTGTGTATTTAAACAATTGTCTTTAATCAAAACATTAGAAGTCCTGACATACTGTCACTACAATACTCTCTAAAGTTAACTCTGTATTTTTACATCTGTATTATTAAAATGAGGTAAAATGTATCTTGACCTGCATGACAACTCTAACAATATTCAGCAAATCCAAAAGTCTCATTGTTCAAGAACAACTATGCTAATTTCACTGATTTTTTTAGTACACAATATAATGGGTAACATTCTTTAGATAAGATTAAGATAGGACAAATATTTACAGACTACCCTACAGTTTTCAGAATCAGCAGAGTTGATATGTGAGAAATACTGAAGTGGTAGGGTCCTCTACTTAAAATCCCAAGCATGTTTTTAAAAATACATATTCTAAACACAGTGAAATTTACTGACATTCTAAGATGGTAAAAACATATATATCCCCAAAAAATAAAAAAAAAGAGCCAGAGATACAGCTAATTGAAAAGAAATTTTACTTACTTAAGAAAGTATCTCTGTCCAGATGGTGTCTTAGCCATCTCCCAACCTGGTGGCAAAGGTACATCATCAGGGATCTCAAAAGAAGACTGGCGGAGGTGTTGAGAAGATGGAGCTCCAGGTCCAGTCACTACTCCAGAGGGTGTAAGTGTCCCTGGAGAAACAGCTCCCAGCTGCAGTGATGCTGGAGAGGAATGAGCCCGGACATGCTGTGGGGTCAGGGCTCCTGCTGTCCCGGCATCAGTGCTGGCCTGCCAGGAGTGAAATTATTTTTATTAAGATTCCTATATTTCAGTAGAAGTGCAGCTGTCAGAAGACATTTAACTTTAAATGAACGTTTCAGTAGAGATTCGTAGCTCAGTTGTTCTAAAGTTCTGCTTATTTTCCAGTTGTAACTGTTCAACAAGCCTCCATGTAGTTTGGTTAAAAACCCCTGTGCAAGTCAAGAAATATTAAGTGTACGTGTTGAGAGCCCTTAGTTTTATTTTGAAACTAAAGTTCTTACTCCTAACACAGGGTTAAGAACAAACCTGCCTGCAGTCAGCAGATCTCATGCAGTGCATTGAGTGGTTTGTTACTGGACTGCACCCACTCCCTACCATCACACCCACTTTCTGCTGGAGGAGTTAATTTCCCACTGTCCTTTTCAAGTGGGGGTGTGGGGATTCAAGTAGATGCACACGCCACACACCATCCCACCCCCCAGACCGTAGGGGTTTAAAAGATCACACAAAGAGAAAAGCAATAGTGAAATGCCAACTGGCAGCAGCGAGTTCCAATGGAGGAAGACTCACTAATTCAACCATTAAAAAAAACCTAAACAAGAAGACTGAACATAACATTTCCTAATAACTCGAACTTTTGAGGGTATAAAGAGTCTGTCCATGCTTGATCCAAAGCAAAGCTTCAGCAAACAGTTGAACCAGTCAACCAGAAATGACTCACAAACCCATTCACTGGAGTCACCACTCATAAGTACACAGAAAGTCCTTGCCAGTACTAAATACACATCCAACATGGAAAAGGCAGCTCTGAAAACCTGGTTAAAGTAAAATTGGCTTTTAAAAATATATTTACCAATTAACTGGTTTCATAGACAGACCAGAACAATATTGACACCTATAATGAGATGCATGTATCAGTCCCTGTCACACCTCTCTACACAAGGTATTACACCATAAGAGGCCCCACTTACACACTCTTACACATCTGCTTCACTCCATCTGTATGCAAGCACACATGAAGTTCCATGTGTTCAACTGGAAACAAATCAGTTTGCACTTACATCCAGACAAAAGAGTGGATTTGCAATATTTAAATTCCTGGGAATCACAGATTTATAGATTCAGTTTTTTTCTTTAAACTGAATGTTTATGTGGCACAATTAAACAGAAAGGAAAAAATGAAAACAATCCACAATGAAGCAAATTATTCTCTCTTGCTTTAGCTAGATTTCAAGTTAATGTTTTAGGAACCACTGAGCGGTATACAAGGAACAGTGATCCAACTAAATATGCTTTACAGACAAAGATTAACATACACAAGGAATATAATGCTAAGCCTAAAAGTACAACCGAAAGTTGTACTTTTAGTGCATTTCAATGCACTAAATGCACTTTTAGTGCATTTCAAACATGGTAGCTATTTAACTGCAGTTACTGTATTTAACAAGACATAGCACCAAGTGTTAGATGAATGTCTACCCATTCAGATTTGTACACAATGGAACCGCAATGAGATTTGCACAAGCTGGGAGAACACTATACATGAACCCCTTATTCCTTGCTGGATTTCAGTATGTTATTAAACGTCTGCAACTCAGAAGCTAGCAAAACTACAGAAGCAGATCAGCTCCACCCCTTCCAATTTTCTTTTCAGTATTCCTATATGAAGGCCAGACTGCTTTTTCGAGTATTTGGAAAATGAATTAACTCCTAGGCTGGGAGAGTACGTGCCAAGGTTCAGCCTGGAATGAACTTCTGAAGTCAAGTTATAAAACGTTCAAAACAGAAGTTTAATAATGGAAATGTTGACAGGCCCTTAACAACATGGGTACCAGGCACCAGTACACAACGAGTTTCACCCTTACTGGCTACACAGATAAAATGACAATAGCCAATAATAAAATTTATTTTATAGCTTAGCAACTAAGTTCATTACTTAATAACACTTGACTAGATATGCACAGTCTACATCCAAAACGTTGGTTAACAGCAGTAGCTTCCCCTCGTATTCACACCAGCACTTAAATCTTGGTACAAAAGTCCCTCTTCTTAAACACCAAGAGCACCCGGAGGCCGAGCGCCGACCCTGCCCCGCATACCCCACCCCGTTCCTCCTCGGCCCTGCCCCCGCATCGCCCCTTCCCCCCGGCGCTGCCCCGCCCCTTCCCAGCCCTGCCCCGCATCCCTCCCCCGCTCCCTGCGCGGCCCGGCCCGCATCGCTCCCTCCCCCGGCCCGGCACGGCCGAGGCCCCACGGCTCCGAGCCCCGCTCCCAGGCTGCCGCCGCTGCCCGGGATGCGGCGCTGCGCCCGGCGGACCCTGGACGCCGTCGGACCTGGCGTCTGGCTCGGGAATTAACTTCGGATGTGCGTGCCTGTGTATGTGGGGGGGTTAATCCTACTCAACCCAGTGCCGTGCTGAAATGGTGGAAAAGTCACATCCATATTTACTCTCTGACGGGGCGAGGGGGTGTAGGTTTGGCACCACTTCATCGACCCCTTCCACAGAGGGCAGGGAATTGGACTGCAAAGCGACATTCCAAGCGAAGCGTTTTCACCCAAGTTTTACGGGCTCACCCCCTCTGTCGCCCTCCCGGTGAGGCCGAGATAGCCAAGGAGCGGATGTGGAGTTCGAGGCCCCACTAGAGACCGGGACGGGGCCAGCGCTCGCTCGCCCTCCCACCGCGGTCCCGGCCCCGGCGGCGTCTCGGGGAGCGGGAGGCGGCCCTGCCCCAAGGGAAGAACAAATAAAGGGGTGTGGGGGCGGCAGAGAGCGCCCCGACAGCCCCGGCCGGGCGCCCCCCGCCCGCTCGGCCCCGCGGATTCCCGCCCCGGCCCCCTCCCCCACACGCCTCCCCCGGGAGGAGCTCGGCGGCGGGGAGGGGGAGCACGGCCCGGCCGGGCCGCCCCCCGCCCGCCCGCGGCGCGGGCCCCTGCCTTCCCTCCCCCTCACCTGGCGGGAGTGGGCCTTGGGCTCGGGCGGCTTGAAGAAGGAGTCGGGCAGTTTCCGCAGTCGCATGGGCAGCGTGTGTGGCACGTTGGCGCCCTTGGGGTTCATCACTGCGTTAAACAGCGCCTCCAAGTCGGTCTCCGAGTCGCCCCGCACATGGACGATCTGGTGCCCCGCCGGAGGGGGCCCCGCACCCGGGGGCTGCGCCGCGCCGGCCGGGGCCCCCGACACCGGGCCAGGGGGCTGCGGCGGCGGCTGCTGCTGCTGCGAGGCCGGGGGCTGCGCTGCCTGCGGCGGCTGCTGCGTTTGAGGCTGCCCAGGATCCATGGCTCCGTCGGGACCCCCCGGCGCTTCCCTGGCGGGGCTCAGCGGCTCAGAGCCCGGATTCCCAGTCCCGCATGCCCCGCTCCCCGGGCCGCGGGCTCGTCCTGCTGTCGCTGGTGCCTCTCACCCCTCGGTCGGGAAGCCGACCCGCCCGCGGCAACTGGCAAAACAACTCTGGCCGTGCGGCGCTTCCCCGAGCCCGGCCCAGCCCGGCCGGCGCCTCTGTCCCGGCGGCGGAAACTAACTCACACAACACACCAAACAAAAGTTCGCAGTTACGCCCGCCCGAATCACTCTCCGCCGCCGGCTCCGCCCCTCCTGAGCCCGCCCGCACCGTATCCGAGCGAGGCAGCCCGTGCTCGCAGCGCTCCTGCGCGCGCCCGCCCGCGCCGCCTCCCGCCTGGGGCGCTGCGCGGCCCCCTCGGACCCCGCTCCGCCCGCGGGCCCGGCCGGCACCGCACCGCCCCCCGCTCCGCGCCCGCCCGCGCCTCTCCCGCCCGCCCGCTGCCGCCAACCAGAACTTTTTTTTTTCTCCCTAACTTCTATCCCAACTTCCAGGAGGCCGCTCCGCGAGGGGGTGGGGAGGGGTGGCCGCGCTTCCCTGCCCCCGGCCCGGAGGGGGCATTGGCCCGGGACCCCTCCCGCCCGACCCCTCCCGCGCTTTCTCCAGGTTCCGCAGAGCTTTCACCGACTGCAGAGCCTCCCCTGCAGTTACGCGTCGCGGGTCTGTAAAGCTGGCTCATAAAAATGACGAGACCTCTAGAGAAATACTTTTTATTAGATAAAACGGGTGAGGGAATGGGGGAAAAGGCCAAGAAAACAGCTTCAAGAACTATAAATACCGGAAAACTTTTGTCACATAGTAACATCTGAGTGAACGGGAAGCACTTCCGAGCACGTAATCAAGGAGTAGAACTTTCCTCGTCAGAAAACTATGCAATGTCTACCTGAACCCAGCAGAAAGAAGGCAACCTCCACTATAAAACTGGGGGCCAGACGGGTTTATAACTAGTTTGTAAATAGGCTTCCACCGAAACAGTGATACAGAATATTCACGTGTCGCTTGCACGGATCCACAATCAAGTAGGCAAAAGTCTGTTGGTGGCTTTTGCTGGAAGGGTAACACAGGCCATTAGCATCCTGAGAGGAAGAAAAAAACCAAAACAGTATTAGGGACAATAGGGATATCTGTAAGTGAATTTATAAAATCTGAAGTTAATTTTGTTCCAGTTGTAACTGTTCATTGCACAGCAAAATAGAACAAATACACCACAGTTTATTTAAACGGTATCCCAACACTACAAAATGCACCCTAATTCTGGCTGGATGTATCAAATAACCTTGAGGTAAACGTAATATTAATATAAAATATAAAATTAAACATGTAATCATGTGTTTACACAATTAGAGCCTAAAATACAAATGATTAAATATAAAACAGCCCATCATGTTTCCTTTGAAGGAGAAAAATAATCACTTACTCTATATTAATACATAAAGCTGTTCCATCCATAATTTTTTTTCACTTAACATTTGCTAATGCATCTGTTCAGGTTGCAATATTTGCATTTAAGCAAAATGCTTATTACAGATCACATTAACAACTTTGGACTATTATTGGAAACATTTTGTGTGCCACTCCTCAGAAAGGGTTTGAAGGGATTCTGAACACCTATCTGCAAAATCCTGGTTCTGAAAAAAATACATTCAGCTGACAATCAGCAGGGGAACTGGGTTCTTCACATTAACATCCTACGTCTGCACATGTCAATAAAAGCTTCAGTGTTGACAGAGCAGCACAGCTGGACACACTTCAAATCCAGTAGGGATCCAGAAACTAGATGGAGGGATTTTTAAAGCGTTGGGGTTTTTTTATTTAGTTGGGTTTTTTTATTTAGTCAGTGTGGTAATTGAACACCTGAAAGACCAATAAATATGTAGCTGACACTTCCTTTCTTTTAAAACATGTAACAGTTTCCTCCTGCTCCCCAACACCTTTGGACAACAGTTGAAGAGATGTGGGTTCTGTTACACTTTTCCTGCTTGAGGAATTGCTACATTGCATATATTGTTCCTTTCCTCAAGGAAAATTTTAAACTCACAGACTACAGACTATTCCAGATTTTACATCTCTTGCATTCTTCTGTTGAACTTGTCTTCCTTTGCATAAAATAATCTTTTTTTGGACCAAGGGAACATGAAAACTGTAACTCAGTGGTTAAGTCAGTCAGCTGAGAAGGAAAAGAGCTGGGTCCCCATTTCTGCACCAAGGACCATTTGTGTATTTAATCCTTTAGCTTTTACTGGCACCCCATTTTCTCCTGCTGTTTTGAAGAGAATGAATCCATTATTAGATGTTCTGGAGTCTTCCTTTGAGGGATTATTCAAACCCTTAAATCTTAAATTAAGCTAAGCACCTCATAAAAGCACAGTCTTAGACAGGTAGAGATTTGATAATGTTTATTCCCAGAATTTTCCAATGGTAGTCAAATGCCACAAGCTAGAAACAGCATTCTATTTTTAAGTGGCACAGCATACAAACTCTGTAGCTCCAATTGTAAGGTACCTAACTTTCTTCAGGTGTCTAAGGATACACATGTAACAAACACTGGATTCTCAACTGCAGTAAGGAGAGCAAATTTTAAGATTTTATAGTGCTCCGCATCAAAAGGCCTTTGGAATTTGATCCAAAAATAACCTAAGCTCATGCATGTAACTGAAAAAAAAAAAAGTAAAAGACAAGATCAACATCAAGATGTGATTGGTAGTTAAACTCTTCTCCCATTGCTACCAAGGATCCCACTCCTGCAGTCTGTGTGGAATTGATGGATGGCAGTTGAGGTTTTGACTGTTTAGAGGCAGTGTGAGCCCACTAAAAATTTGTTCAACAACTCAAGAGCAAAAACAATGTAAGTTCTGGCAATGAGGCATTTCAAGCAATATACCTAACTTGGTATCAGGAAAATAATCAATATAACCTAATTAAATGAAAAGGTTCTTAATTTTAATTAGAAAAGAGGTCATAAAACCCCTAAAATGCTTGAGCATAAAGGCTCTGATATTTACATTCATGCATGTATACAAGAATCATACCAATTCCATCTGCAGTGTGGACTTTGGTTCACACATGCAGGGGGTGTAATGATTGATTTACTGATGTTAGAGTAGGATCATTTTATTTTTTCTTTGTAGCAACACAGCTGATGATTTAAGAATACATATGCATAGCATAAAAGAGAAATGAAAATACTGCTGAACATTTTCAAAACTGCATAATGTAATTGACAATTTTTTTAAATACTTATTGAATAAACTTTGCATTATTCTGATTTCTAAAACTGCCATAGTTTGGGTTCAGGTAAAGAAAGTTCTAAAATAACAGTGAGCACTCCAATACTTAAGCTGTAAAAGTATTTCATTATATGCAAAGCTCCAAAGCTCTCAAGGGTATTTGGAGTTCAGCAGAGTACTTTGTCACCAGATCTAAAATTATTTCTCTTGTGATGCCCAAGTCTATCAGGTTTTGACACTCAAGAGCTCTACAGACATTTGTAAAAAAGACCTCAACAAATTAGAGGGTTGGACAATCACCAACCATATGGAGTGCAACAAGAGAAAGTTCTGGATTCTGCACCTGGGATGGGGCAGCCCTGGACGTAGAGACAGACTGAGGAATGAGATGCTGCAGAGCAATGCTGCAGAGAGGGACCTGGGGGTCCTGGTCAATGCCAGGTTGAACATGAGCCAGCAGTGCCCTGGCAGCCAGGAGGGCCAACCCTGTCCTGGGGGCATCAGGCACAGCATGGCCAGATGGGCAAGGGAGGGGATTGTCCTGCTCTGCTCTGCTCTGGGGCAGCCTCACCTCCAGGGCTGGGGGCAGTTCTGGGTGCCACAACATATAAAAGACATTAAACTATGGGAGAGTGTCCAAAGGAGGGCAATGAGGATGGTGAAGGGCCTTGAGGGGAAATCGTATGAGGAGTGGCTGAGGTCGCTTGCTCTCTTCAGCCTGGAGGAGACTGAGGGGAGACCCCACTGCAGTCTGCAGCTTCCTTGTGATGGGGGAAGAGGAGGGGCAGGCACTGATCTCTGCTCTGTGGTGACCAGTGACAGGACCTGAGGCAACAACATGAAGCTGAGTCAGGGGAGGTTTAGATTAGACAGCAGGAAAAGGTTCTTCACCCAGAGGGTGGTTGGGCACTGGAACAGGCTCCCCAGGGAAGTGGTCACAGCACCAGCCTGACAGAGGTCAAGAAATGTTTGGACAACACTCTCAGGCACATGGTGTGACTGCTGGGGATGGTGTTTGCAGGGCTAGGAGTTGGACTTGAGCAAGCTTGTGGGTCCCATCTAACTCAGAACATTCTGTGATTGTGTGAACTATAACTTAGAACTTTGAAATATTTACATTTCTAATAGTGTGCTTTTTCAGATACTGTTTTAAAATTGTGTTCAGCCACACAAGTCACTTTTACAAGACCAGCTTTTTAAAATCCATTTATTTTAAAAATTATTTATCTATTTACATCAGGCTAGGAGGGTATGTCCTTTCCTTCCAGATATAAACCAAGAAAACTTGGCTTAAAACTGTCAGCTCAACATAAGGATTATAATAACAATTATAATAACACTCTACCGTTATTTATCAAATGAACTCAGAAGCTAACTCCACTGCAGAAATGTAGTTATTCCTTAAGAGAAACTTTTCATCACAAACATAAGACATTTGTGCTCCAGTAAGTGTCCTTCCTGTAAGTGCCATGTGGAGTGGAGTAGTTTTGATCCACATAACCATCAAACAGTCTAGACACACTGCTTAAGCCTTTCTGTTTTCTGAGAGAAAATTCTTCAGCATGTTCTTTAATAGAAACTGTAATTTCAGAGTTCTTCTCCACCCCACAAATTTTCAGAATGTGCAGTAATGCCCAATTTTCCTCCAAGGATACGTGGATAGCCTGCTCTGCATTAACACTGGATCTTCTTTTGTCCATCTATTTTGTTTA